TCCATCAGGTCTTTATTCATCTGACCACCCTGCTTTGCCTACTTCTTTGAATTACTTTCTAGAGGATCTTCTCTCTACCCTAATCATGATAGGAATAAACTCTAATAATTAAATCTGGTCTTTGTGAGCAGCATATGACAAAGGCAGAATTGTCAAACAGTGACCAGAAGCAAGGTTGAAAATCTGGAATTGTTTCTCACTTTAACTTTTGCATCTCTTTGCCAAAGTGCTGAAGCTGTTTTTCTAATTCATAATTGCAATTTATAACATGAAGTACATGACATCATCTTCACTTCCTTTGCAGTAAAATACATAAAGCTTTGCTCATTGCTGTTTTCATAAGCCTGCTTTTGAATGACCCTCTAAACCCATTTACAATAAATGTGTAAAATAAACATTTATAGAGAACATTTTATCCAACATCAATATAATGTTTTGATTATTATTACTCAAATGCACACAGGAAATTAATTTAGATCCTTGTTTTCAGGTGCATTAAAATGATTGCACATAAAATGATTGCAAATCACTCATGTCTAATTTACACAAAAAAAATCATCCTACTGTTCGGCCATAACTGTGTTAAACCTACAGGATTTTATGGATTTTAAAATGCTAGCTTAGTATTTTGAACATGCTGCTTTCATAATGAGTCTATTGTTTGCTTTATATTTTATTAGTCTTTGCACAGAATAATGGTAAATAGAACTTCTATCTGAGTATGTTCTGGAATTGAATTAAATTAATGATGAGCCAGAGAAATGAACATCAGCTCTGATAATTATTGGGATCAGCTGAATCAAGTAGTCACTGGGTGCATTCAATATGGTTCATACCAGTCATTAACTTCAGAAACCAAGCAGAGTCTGTGCTAAATCTCTAAATACTTGGAAAACAACTCTCTTTGTTCTTTAATACTTTTCTCACCTAGCACCTGCTAAAAATAAAGAGGAATATACTTATGGCAGCACCTCTCTGCATTCTGATGTATTGAATGTGAAAGAGCAGCACACCTGGAAGAAATTGAAGCCAACTTTTTTGGGGAAAAAATAGTGAACATTTTGTCTTACACAAATAAAATGCAGACCACTTAAAGCAGGCTATAACCTTCAAAGTACGTGTGCATGTGTGTCCTCTTTCAGGATTTGTTTTGTTTTGTTTTTTATTCACAATATATGGTGGCTAGCTGCATATAAAAGATTCACATGTTTTGAGCAGTGAGGCAAGGTATATAATTTAATTATAATTATTTCTTCATACTATTTATTTTTACAGTGATCTTTTCATCTCTAAAAATACATACATACATGTAGTCATTTAAGATTTCCCATTATGCTAATGAGGACTAAATCTGTCAGAAAGCAAACCAATTTATTATTTTATTATTTTATTATTTATATTATTTTATTATTTATTTATTATATCTGACAATTTATTATTCCTCTAGCTTGATTGTAAACATGCTGGCATCTGTAAATCTAAAACTGTTCTCATTCCAGCAGAAATTGTTTCCGAGGGAACTTCTTAGGGTCTAATCACTTATTAAAGAAAACAAAGGGTATCTCTGAGGAAAGGCTTCAGGATTAAGGACATACTGATTAGCTCTGGTTCCATCTGCAAGGTATAAGGTTTTCTTACTTCTGACAGAATGGAAAAAAGTACTCTAATATTTAAAACTAAAACAGAATAAGTAAAGTCCCAACTGCAAGGCTGATAGGGTCTGTTTGTTTTATGATGGAGAACTATATGCTATTGCAGTGGGAATGGGTACATTCTCTCTGACACAGGCTGGACTTCATTTGACCTGAAGAAAACCCTTCAAAAGAAGAAAGAGTTTGCAAATGACTTAGTACTATAGGTAAAAAAAAAAACAAACAATAGTTGTTAAACCTAGAATTTAAATAAAATAAATCACCAAAAGTATTTTTGACCCATGTTGTGCACTACGACTAAATTAACACTGTACTTTTCTAATAGGATTCTTTCCCAATACTCAAAACATTCTTAATTAATTATGTCAGAGACAGCAGGAATGCCTTAATTAAAATTTCACATATAAAAGAAAACCTGCTAATCTGAACAATAAAAGCCTACAAATGACTTTGTACATTGCAGGACATTGTAGAATGTGTAATTGCATAACCAAAACCCAAAAAACCTACCAATTATGCTTTTTATGTGAATATTTTGATTAGTTACAAGTTAAGATAATCAGTATATAGTTTTTGTTTTGAAAAACAGGAAATATATAGTTCCGATCTCAGAACAATAAAGAAATTGATTCAAATCACTCATATGTTTTCAGCATGAGACACAGATCTTCAAAATATTTAAAAACATTTCCATTAAGACCAAAGGAAAAAAAACCAAAAAAAACCCCAAAACAACAACAACAACAATAAGTAAGCCATGAAATAGTTGTTACTCTAAATGTGTATTATAAAGGTGTACCCAAGGTGACATTGAGTGCTTATAATTTAAGCTAAGAAGCGGCAATTTCTTTTCTTATTTTTTTAAACACAAAGGAAATTATCTTTCTCCATGGCTTAGGGGTTTTCAACTGCTATACTTAGATGAGATGGATACTGCCTATTAAGTGAGTTTTATCTTTTTCTAAATGTGTGGATTCCCTTCTTATTTTTCAGCTTTAATGATAAATCAGAATACGAGCCATTCCATGTTTCACTGTGAGGCACACAGACATTTAAGGTCTAAAGCATGGAGGTTATAACATGAATATACAACACCAGTATTGAAAAGAACATGTTTATAATTGCATCCATAGTTAATGGTCTGTAAGACCAGCAGGTTTCCCTAAAGGAGACAGCAATTCTGACAAAACACATTGTGTGGGAGAAAGGAAGGGAATCCTTAAGTGGTGACCATCCAAAGTTGCCCAGAGAGAAGAGGTGGTGAGGAACAGGTGTAAAAAAATTAGTATTATGATTAAATATATCTGCTTGTTCTGTTTATTCACATAATATTATAAAGATTATATGGGGTTTACTGATTTGGAGGTTGTCCTTAAATCTGCCGGGGTTTGCAGAGGTGGAAATTGAATGGTTCCCTCCCTATGAATTCATTCATTTTAACACATCAAAATCAGCCAAGTCTCTTTCTGTCTTTGTCTAGTTAAACATTAAATACTGAACTCCTACCTACACTACAAGTGATGAATTACATTTTTTTTAAACTATTCCTACAAATAGTAACATGGATCTGACTCCAATGCTTTTTTTCTTTTTCTTTTCTCAGTCTAGGCTTGTTGAAATACTGCTCTGCAGTGGAGCACCAACCAAAGGGACAGAAGGCATCACTTAAAAATACAGTAAATATGTACTTTTGAAACCCAGGTACCAAGTATTGCAAAAGATAATTGACATTATTCTGGTATAAATCACACACTTGAAGAATCTTTCTCTGCTTTCTTTATATCAGAGTCAATCAAACAGAATATATGGATGTTTATTGTGAGGTTAATCACTTGACAGTAATTGCCTATCTGTACTGACGAAACAAATCAATGTTGTACAACAACAAAGAGATCCTGCTTATTGAGTTTAAATAAATATGATTGATTACTTGAATCTCTCAAAACAACATAAACAGTATGATTTCCAGACACATCCAACAGTGGAAAATTGCATTCATTAATTGACCATAATTTCTGTCAATGTCGAGGGAAAATGGGTTACAGTGAATGAGAAAACAAACTTTTTACCATTAAAGAAAACTGTTGCAATTCAACCTAATGCTTAACATAGGCGTGTTACAAGTTACTGCTGTGCCTCATATTTATATATTAGATACAAAAAAAAGATTAAGAACAACGCACATCATTATTTTGGAAGACTTTTCTTGATTTACTTGATATTTTGAACGTGCAAGAACTTTAACACACAATCCTCTTTGTCAACCATATGGATCTATTTCACCTCTAATTTGCCAGAAAAATCCTCCTTCTGCCTTCTTTTAGGAAATATATCATGAAACTACAGAGGATTACATATATCATGATGCACCCTCCCTAACATTGTAATCCTATAATTGTAAAAGCCCATAGTTACCTTACATGTATGTTCAGCTATATTTTTTAAATAATTGTAAAATGGAGGTTAAAGGTCTGGTGAGGAATTGAAAATTCAATGGACCATTCTTCACATTGTTCTGCTGCAATGGATGCAACTATTACAGCATATATTTTGCTTTAATTCATAATGGATTTTAAATATTGATGTGGTAGTTTTAAAACCAGGTTATATTAAATGCTTCTTATGCAATTGCTGTTTGCTGAATTATAGAGTTTATTCATGTTATATAATTACTATGTGGAACTTAATACTTCAAAATGTTTTCGAAGCCAAGACTAAATGGATTTAAAAAATAATCAGGCGAATGAAAAATAGATTAATTGGTAACTACAGTGCATGATGATTGAGATCAGGAAGTTCTTGAACTATAAACTAGAGAAAGTGGGGAGATAATAATAGAGGAAAAATGCTCCTGTCCCTCATCATGCACTGCTCAACACTTGAAATGGTCTCACTGGGACGGAGCTACTGCTCTTGGGTTGTGACTACAGCTGTTCTCATGTCCAAAGACAATCAGAGGTTGTACCATGGAGTTATAGCTACAGCTTTTTTTATGTCCCAAGTAATTTAATAGCATGACAGATTATGATAGACATATTTTTTTTCTCTGTAAGAGGACATGCTTTCTGAATTTACCCATTCCTTGACCACACGTTGCACTCAAAATAAACAAACATAAAAAAAAAAAGCTGACCACAAGCTTTTCAAACAGAGCAAAACTTAGACTTGCCAAGGTATTACAGATACCACTGTGATGTATTCAGAACAGTTTTAACGTATCAACCATTCATACCTAGGCACACAGCAAAGATGTGTGCAAATGGTATGATTCAAAACCACACAACTTGAACAACAATATTCAGTGGGCTTTTTTTCAAAATAGAAGAGATAGAAAGAGCCTGTAATTACCTGTAACTGTCAACTCCGTAGTTCTTCTGACAACAAAGAATCCATATTTTAGCTCACAAGTGTAATTTCCAATGTCATCCTCTCTAACTTCCCGAATGACAAGAGTGTCCTTTTTAAACACAATACTTGATCTCCATGTCTTTGACTTGCATTCCTGTTTAAAGAGAATATAAAACTTCAGGGATTGTGTTCTTAGACTTTAAATGTATCACTGTGGACAATGCTGCCCAAAGTAAAGGTGGTTAGGCAAGTACCCAGCCTAGATATAAATGTATATAAACTAAATATGTAAAAATCCAGCCTATTTAGATGTTGGTTAAAACTAATTTTATCACCAGACTTGATATTTATGCCTCTGGCTAGAAGAGGGAGTTGATTCCTTTGGTGGGTTTTTTTTTTTTACATTGGTTTGCTGAGTTGCTTGTATTTAATTTACTTATTTAGCATTACACTTATGTCTGCAATCTATGACTTTTATATTGCCAGTAGCTCAAGCTGCAGGGGATTTTTTAAATTTAATTTTTAAAAAATATTATAATTAAAACATGTAGAGAAACAGAAGATGAGAATGAGGAGAAATAAGGATGCTATATATCTCTTTCTAAAACAATCTTAGAATCAAAGCTCTCTGTACCTAGAAAAGATGCATTCTTAACAGAAAAAAGTATTTTATCTACAAGATGAGAATAAGAAAATAGTTGGCTACACTTCTCCTATCTTAGATATGCTATCAGTTAATTTGGCCAGGCCACAAATTTTAATTTTTAGGTAGCACAGTCTTGTATACCATAATTAATTCTACTGCACTGCTTGCAAGAACTTGGCCCTTAAGTAATGAGCTAGAAAGCATAACACAATATTGAAATAAACTTATTGATAAAAACAATGAAACTATATTTGCAAATATAACTTTAAGTATACATGTAAAAACAAAAATTTTGGTAGTGTTTGCTGAATTTTATGCTGCAAAATTAAGCTGTTTATTCAGGTAAAGCAGACATAGATTTCCCATGCAGTTTAGTAAAGGAAGCATTTTAATTTCTCAATTAATTAATTCTTTTCTACCATTTGTTCTGTTGTCTTTTCTTGACAAGATTAAAAACAACTCAAGCTTCATAACACATTTACATCAAGATAATCCTAAGAACATTGCATAATATACATTTGAAGGTACAAATCTCTTGTATTCCTTACCTTATACCACAGAATTTCAGGCTCCCTAAATGGAAATAAAAAATCCTCAATTTCAGGACATGAGATTTCCTTGCTTTTGCTAAGTTCAGCTTTTTCAAAATATTTCATCTTTGAATTGTAGCAGAGTCCGGTGTCATTTTCACCCACCGTCAGCGAAATGGACACTTTCATACAGTAAGTTGAGTTTCTGCAATGCAATGAAAATAGAAATAAAAGTCTAATAAATGGGCACTCAGGCAAAACACCAAGAGCCACATATTCATCAGCACTGAGCATGCCTTAAAACAGAAGTGGCAACATTTTACAGATGTTAATTAAAACTAATCTTGTGATTAATTATAGAAAGAAGGATGTTGCAATCTAAGGCCAGTTTGTTTACCATAGCCTTCAATGCCCATACTCCCAGGACAAAATGTTGTGCATTACCTACAGACTTCATGAGCTTGTGTTCTCTCCTGAAACCTGTTGCTACATCTGTTTCTGGATGTTGATAAGCAAGGCAGGGAGAGATTAGGGAACTTTGTCTGTCTTCCCACATTCCACTCTGTGATTCAATCAGGCAGAAAGACAAAACTGCTTGAATTTGGTTTTTTTCATTTGAGTTTCCAGGTGGGGAGCAAATGAGTGAATAAAGTTGAGTACTCCCCAGGAGCACACTGTGATGGTGTAAGATTTCTCTCCTACTGTTCTGTAAATGCATTTTACCCCTGGCCTGCTGACAGAGGATCCTGCAGAGAGCACTGAGGAAAGATTCACCTCCTTATCACCATTCTCATCCTCTATGAGCTGACTGCTTTTTTCATAATGGACTTTTGTGTATCAGACATGGCAGAATCTCAAAGATCAAATTCTTGATATCTGTTTCCTTTTTCTGTTCAATAAGAGGGAATAGAAATACTTTGGGATAAAGAATAAGAAAACTTAATTTACAAAACACTAGAGTCCAGTTTTCTACAGAAAATGCAACCCTGTAAGTAACCATCAAATCAGAGAATAGTGTTAGAAGCATAAATTTTTGAACAGAATGACCCTTAGCTGTTGATCTAATTCACAGACTTGTAAGGCAATCAAACATAAAATCATTTCCTTATAATGAAGAACTAAGCATAATTTGTTACCATGTTTGAGAAACTGGCTGTATAAAGCAAATAAGGTTATTTAAGATTTATGCAAGTCAAAGATAGGATCCACTGAATATGGATCCCTCTTGCTGCATTTAAGCTGGTAAAGAGACAATTCCCATTCTTACCTGTACATGTAATTGAAAATCACTCACCTTTTGAAGAATATTTTTTATTAGTGTAAATTGTGCAATTTCTCCATTAAGGTGTTACTTGGAATATTTTATTTATTTGGGTTTTTATCATGGGTCTTGAAAATATCATAAAAAGTCACTTAATTCTGTTTTTCCAAATTGGGAAAATGCTTTTTTTTTTTGTTCTTGGAAGACTCATCCCTTGAAAACAGGTTCTGAAAAATCCATCAAATTCAGGTTTAAGAGTAAACTAACTACATAGGAGTGTCCCCTTATCAGATGACAGGGAGCAGTATAAAGGGAGCTGTTTGTCTATACAATTTTCACAATTAAATATTCTCTTTAATTTCTTCCTGCATGTTTAAGAATCATGTTTAGTTCATGTTAATGAATCGCATTATTTAAATATTTATAGAAGGACATGGCTGGGGGAAGAAAAGGGAGGACATTTTACTGTCTTCTCAGTCCCTGAAGAAGCAAGGTTACTAAAATTTTTGCATAGGCATCCTTCAGTATTTGGAGTGAATTTTGCAAAAATTATGATTAAATGTTTTGATCCACTAAAGAACTCTGTTCTGCAACAGTGACAATGTCAATTGCCAGAGACAGAATTTTGTCTGAGGCACATCCAAGTTTCCATCGCAACAGCAGATCCTTTAGCAGATGCAGCTAAGGCTTCCTGCTCCATAAGAGAAGCATTCTGGAAATATTTCAGAATGTTTAAATTCATTGTTTGAAGTGGATACTTCTAAACTGTCAGATACAAGATACTCAAAAATTTTGGGTGGATTTTTGTCAGCTGAGATCCCCAACAGAATTTTCTTTCAAAAGCTCAAAACATTACCAAAAAAATCATAGAATTCCAGATACCCACTGGTGACTTCCTTATTTCAATTCTAAATACCAACTGCACAGTCAGTCTGACTCATCTCATGCTCTTTGTCACAAACCAAGGCTGTTGGGATGAAACAAAACTCAAAGAGGCAGGTACAGGAAGTAGAGTAACACAAACAGTATGAGGTAAGAAAACCAAGACAATGGGCTCCCAGTACAGAAAGAGAAAAAGAAAATTAAAAGTCCCCAGGTAGGAATAATGAAGAAGAGGAAGAGGAAGAGGAAGAGGAAGAGGAAGAGGAAGAGGAAGAGGAAGAGGAAGAGGAAGAGGAAGAGGAAGAGGAAGAGGAAGAGGAAGAGAAGGAAGAAGAAGAAGAAGAAGAAGAAGAAGAAGAAGAAGAAGAAGAAGAAGAAGAAGAAGAAGAAGAAGAAGAAGAGGAAGAAGAGGAAGAAGAAGAATAGGAAGAAGAAGAAGATGAAGAAGAAGAAGAAGAAGAAAGAAGAAGAAGAAGAAGAAGAAGAAGAGGAGGAGGAGGAGGAGGAAGAAGACAAAGATGAAGATGAAGACGAAGAAGAAGACGAAGAAGAAGACAAAGAAGAAGAAAGAAGAAGAAGAAGAAGAGGAAGAGGAAGAAGAAGAAGAAAGAAGATTTGAGCTTGCTGGTTACAGCTAGAGCGTGAATGATACAGTAGATGTCAAACCTCTCAGGCGCAGAAAATGTGGCAGCAGAGCCCTCTGGAGCATGCACATATGGCAGAGGGTAAAAAATGCTCATGCGTTAGAAGTAAAAGAGTTTTCCCTGTGTCTCTAACTTGAAGGACCAGATAAGTAGCAAATAAAACAAAAGAAAACCCAACAGCACGAGTTTAAGGAAGTTTAAAAATTGGTGTAGGCCAGTTGGCCCAGCAGGTCACTAGCCCCCCCAGTGGCTTCTCGAGCATTCCTTCAGGACAGTAGTTCAGAAACTTCATATGCAGGATTCCCTTTTACTGGATTTGGGGGTTTTTTATGTTATTTGGGGATTTTTTTTTCCCAAAAATTATTTCCTCAAACTGTGCTCTAACTCACTTATCATGTGATGCTTTTTGGGTGTTTCTTTTCTTTGTTTGCCTTTATTTTTTTCCTGAATATGGTGATAAGAAGAGGTGACAAATTATCAAATTAATTTTTCCTTATTCTTACCAGTCCCAAATGTTCACAAGTATAAAGTTACCAAGAATCTTTTTGTATATATAAGTGAAGGTTTTAATTTTCATCTGTTATTCAATAGATTTTCAAGTGTTAAAATAATGAGATCCTAAAGTATAAAACACATTAAGAGGAAGGAAAAAGCTGTTTGCTGGTTTTTATTTAAGACACCAAACCCGTTTAAATCAAATTTATTTTAAATGAACAGGTAACTTGTTAAAAAGAAAAGGAGAAGAGATACAAGGGGTAAAACTGACAAGAGAACACACACAGACTAAGAGTATCTTCTCTAAGCTTGGGCTTTTACAACATTCCCATCTACATTTGAAGGAGTTGCTTTGAGAATTAAGCACTTAAAGCATGGTTTCTTTATAAATACATCTCTAAAATGGGCCAGATGGGTTTACACTAACAAAACTGCTTTTTTTTTTTCCTCAGAAAAAGACCTCTGATAATTGTCAGTCTCCAGCCTCACCAGAGAGAGCTCAGTGATGGATTCACACAGCTCAGTACTGTCCAGGCAGCATCCCTCATCATCCCTATTCATGACAGAAGGGAAAGTGGGACTCTTCCTGTTACTTGTCCACTCCAGTGCTTTGCCATTATTCTATTTACAGAGTAAACAAACTGGAGAGCAAACAGGAAGCCAGAAAATCTCTCTTATGTTTCTCTTCCTCATACAAAGTTGAACAGTAACTTTATTTCCAACCAAGTTGGAAAAGTAACTTTATTTCTAATTCCTTCAGAACTGGACCTTTAAAAGAAAAGTCTGAGAAAAATATTTTATTTGCAGTTTTATTTAAAATTCTAATAAGAGAACTTAGCCAGTGATGTCAATATCCACTTTCTATAAATGGTTCACCACATTTCTGGGGAAAACTTTTGTTGACATCATTAATTAGTTTTTTTCTTAATTTTGCAGACACAGTTTTGTCCTTTTTCAGTCCAAGTAACTTGTGCTACAGTTATTTGGATGCCTGAAAGCTGGAGAGCAAAGAATTCATTCAAGACAGAAACAAAACCATGTTATTGATAATCTACTCGTGCTCCTGGCCCGTGGCTCCAAAGGCTCTTTGTGAGTTTTTAAACTTTCACACAAAAATTTTTAAAGCCTCTGCATAGCAGCAGGGTTTTCTGAGGACACCCCTGAGGCCTTGGGCCCGTGGTGAGGGAGGAAGGCCAGGGCACCTTGGGGCAGCCAGGATTGCTCTCGTGCTCTCAGGTCCCCTTGGTGGCAGGACCCGATGGCCCAGCAGGTCACTGCCACCCCAGGGGCCTCTGGAGCATTCATGCAGGACAGCAGGTCACAAACTTTATATGCAGGATACCTTTTTATTGGATTTGGGTTTGGTTTGCTATTTGGGTTTGAATTTTTCCCCTCTAGGCTCTGGAATGGTTGACTCCCACTCTCACTGGTTCTGATATCTGGGATCACAGATTGCCTTTTGCACAAAGCTTCCAGAGCCAGCAGAGCAGCAAGTGCTGGGGCAGTGCTTCAGGCATGGGGAAAAGGGAAGAAAAGTGGAGGGAGATGGACAGAAGCCAGCTGGAATTTTCCTCTGTGCCTTAGAAATTATCTCCTGCTTCCATACCCTGGGGGGCCAACCCAGTTTGGAAACTGCTTTTGACCTCAATTGAATTACATAAGCACTGATTTCTTCCCTCAAGGGTCACCTAATTATGTGCATGATACTCTGAAATAACCCAGTGCACACGAGCCTCCAGGACTATTTGAATATCAATACTCTACAAGATACTTGTTCCAATAGGTTTGAATTAGACACACCAGGAAATATTGTTTAGTGTTAATGCCTGCTTCTATCCTTGGAAGCCAAACCTTCACATTTTGTCTTTTTCTGACACAAGTGGTACACACTGCCATCCTGAGCTTCCCCTTCACTCCAAACCT